TCTCTCTTCCTTCTGCTCTCTCTGAAAAGCAATAGAAGAAAAATACCTTCAGGTGAAGATTTTTTTAAAAATTTGTTTTTTCAAATTTCCTTGGCCACGCTAGTCACAGTTCAAGGGCTCAGTCACCACATGCAGCCAACAGCTCCCCAAACTGACAGCACATATCCAAACCATTCCCAGCACTCAGAGCCCTGCTGAGCCAATGATCTAGAGCCTGCAGCCCCACACCTCGACTTCATTCCAGTAGACATCCTGTGGTTCCCGCCTCATCACATATCTGCCCATCTACCAGTCTACCAGTTCACCTTGTATCTGTGCTTTCAAAGTCAGTTGCAGACATTCCTTCTTAGGACAAACACAGGAAAAAGGAATTCAATTCAATAGGATTATCAAGGACAAAAGCAATAAAATCTTAGACTGTCTTAACACCCTGTGGTGCCCAGAGGCACATGTATTGTGTCCCATGCCAGTTAGACTACAATCAGACTACTGTCCCTTCTGTCTGCTTTGGACCATGGCAGTGAGCTCCTCACAGCTCTTTTAACTCCTACCTCTACCCCCTAAAGCACAAACTCTGGATCAGCACTGTGGTCCCCTCTCCTTGCCCCCACCAGGGGACACTGAGCCCGCTGGAGGTCACAGCAAAGCACCCCTGGCACCCCTGAAACAGCAGGTGCACTTAGTCTCCATCAGACCACCAACACTTTCCGTTCATCTTTTATTTTGCATTCTCCTCAGCAACTACTCAACTTTTGCCAAATTTCACTCTCCAAATTTCCTATCCAGTAACTGACTCTCAGTAGCTGACTTATATTCTCTATTACAGAAATCGGGGCCTTAGGCATCAACTCCCCAAGTCCCTGCACCCAACTTCTCTTCATCAATATTTATGTACCCCTCAGTCTCCTGGGATGAGGCGCAGCCGTCCCTGACCAGAGTCCTCACTTCTGGGGCTCTGTTCACCCATTTTCTCCCTGCTCCCTTTCCTCCTGGCCCCACTTCCCCAGCTGCCCTTTTACGGTTTAGCTCCATGGTTTTCAATCCCCACTGTCACTGAGGATGTGTTAAGAAATCCTGCTGCCTGCACCACCACCCCCAGTTCTGATTTAATCAGGCTGCGTAAGGTCCAGCCACTGGTCACTATTGGGATTGCAGCCTGGGTAGAGAACCACAGCTTTAGTTACTGCCGGGTCTCTTGCCTCCCCTTTACAATAAAATTTCTTAAGAGACCATGCTGACCTTGAGCACGTTCTCACACCTCCGTATTTCCCTTCCACCAACAGTTGGGCCCTCCTCTCACCAAATCCCTGGTGACCTCCTAACTGCAGACCCAGGAGATACTTGAAAATCTTTAGTGTATGGGTCCAATTCACTGAACTCAACATTTCTGGTCATTTTTCTTCCCCTGGAAATTCTCTATTGCTCTGATTTCCTTGCCAGGACATTTTCTCAGTTACCTAGCCCTGGCTTCCCTGTCTTGCTCGCACTCCCCGAACACTGGTTTCCCCACGGTGCTCCCGCCCTTCTGCTTTTCTTCTTATTCCACAACACCCGCAGATACCATGGTTCTCTGTAGCATGGGGCTCTCCTGCATGTTTTCGGATGTTTAGAAGCAGGCCCTGCAATTTTAAATCTAAGCTTTTGTTCAGTGGGAAAGGTGGCGAGGAATCTGGGAAGGAGACAGGAGGGGCTGGCAAGGCAGGTCAGAGATGGGGTGAGCCTGCCACCTGCCCCAGCAGCAGAGGACCCTGGTCCTGCTGGACACTGAAACACCCAGACCAGCGGCTGAGGCGCCCACCTTCTTACTGTAGACACAGGCAGAGCCCTGGATCAGCAGTGCTGCCTCCACAAAGTTCATTGTGGTTTTGCCTTCGTCAAAAGAAATGCAGATCTGGTCCAGCTGCAAGACACAAAAACCAGGTCAGCGGGGAGCCAAGCATGTGCACACTTCTCCCAGGGCTGCCCACCTGACACCCCACCCCCTCCCAGCACCTCTGGCCCAGGGAGCCCATCACCACGACGAGCAGCCCCTCAGACTGACAGCTCTAGCTCTGCTTGGGGCTCACACGTCCATTGCTTGGGGAGGGTCTTTGTGCTTTCCCTACTTCCTGTAACCTCTGAGCCTGCTGAGGGGAGACCCCAAGACTGTGCAAACCACACAGCCAGCACTGCACACCAGCTCCCTGCTGAAGGGGCCCCATGCTGCACCCATCCAAGGAAGGGCTGACTCGTACAGGAAGACCCCACACCCTGGGAAAAGAAGGGGACCTCAGATGGGGAAGATAGACGAAATGCGCGGGTCTTAGAAACACTTGCAAGTGAGTCGTCCTCCTTCCTCTGTGACCCCTGAACCCTGCTCCTATCATCTCTTAAGTGTTGGTGTTCCCTGACCATATGCTAACAATTCCCAAACCCATGCAGAACAGTGCTCTCTCCTAAGCTTCCTGCATACCCCCTCCTAAGATCGAGTCTGAAACCCAGGCATGTGCCCTGATCCTGACCAGGAATCAAACCAGCAAGCTTTCTGTGCACTGGACGACACTCAGCCAACCAAGCCACACCAGCCAGGGCCATCCCCAGACTTTTTATCTCCATACTGCACACAGGACCTTCCCCGCAGCCTGGCCCCTCCTGTGGTCCTCAGCCAACAGCACTCCAAAGCCCTTCCGTTTGTCAGGCTCTTTGCCTGGAACACCCACCCTAGCCAGGCCCATTGTGAACTCCTCTGCAGTCTCCCTCAGGCTTCTTGCCACCATTAGGGTGGTCTGGTCACACATGAGTCTCCTACCTCAGTGCACTGTGAGCAGCATCAGGGTAATTCCAGCCTTTAGCTCAGCGTCTGATGCCAGTGCCCAATAAATGTTTGATGAGCAAAGTGGTGACGTCAGAGCTAAGCCTAAAAGATGGACAGATATCCTTTGTGGTCCAGTTTCCCAGATGAAGGGAATGGTTTTTCAGGAAGAGCAACCACTACCCAAAAGCATTTTGCTGACAAGATTCAGCCATTTAGGACAATGAGTACTATGTAAATATGTCCAAAGCGCAGGGTGTGCTGGGGAGTGAGGCAAGATATCAGTCCCTAGGGTGGCACCAAGAAGGGGAGTCTGGGAGGACTCCACCAAGGGGCAGCTTCTACTAATTCCTGGAGGACAGAGGGAGTTAGCTGGTCAGGTCAGCGGGGGAGGGAGAGGAAACTGGAGCATGACAGCCAGAAAGTGCCAAGTGAACTGACCTATGCCTGAAAAAAGGGAACATGAGCTGCAGAGGTGGCCCTTCTCCTCAGTGACACCCTAGCCGTGGCTGGTTGCCCACTCCCAGGACCTCACACTCCATTCTCCTCCTAATGACTCCCAAATGCATGCTCCCAGGTGGGACCTCCCGTCTATGCCCAAACCTGTATGTCCAACTGCCTCCTTCAAATACCATGTGGATGCCTTACCCGAAATTCACAATGAAACAGGTCCATGCTAAGCTCTAGAGATCCCCTCCCCAAACCACCTGCCCAGAAACCCAGGGTTTCAGCTCCCTCCCCGTTCTCTCACTCCTCCCCCCTTCATCCCACGCCCAGCCCCCTGCTGCACCCTGACCTGACTGTTCCTGTCCATGGTGACAGCCGTCCTTCCAGCCTTTCACTTCCCTCCAATCTACTCTCACACGTCAGTCTGTGCAGGTCTAAGACATAAGTTGGGCTACATCACTGTACTCAACCCTAATGGCTTTCTGCCTCTTAGGAAAAAACCTGAAATCCTAACCAGAGCCCTCCACGCTGACCAGCTTCCCTCTCCAGTGGCCCTCCCTCCCCCGCTCGCTGCACAGCCTGGTCCTCCACTGAACTGAGCACTTTTCCGCCTCAGAACCTTGGCTGTTCTCTGTACCTGGATCGTTGTTCTGCTCACTATGACTAAGCCACTCCTCATCCCAAACAAAGTGAGGCCCCTCAATCAGCTCGCCATGTAGATCTCAACCTTTCTTTCAAACCGCTCACCAGTTTGTTGACTGCACAAAGACACATAGTGGTGAGGAGTGTGGGCTCTACTCTGCCACCTGCTAGCGAGGACTTTGTGCATGTCACTTAACCTCTCTGGAGAACTAATACCTATACTAGTAAGGCTTTTACGAGGATTAAATGAGTTTACAGTCAAGCCTCAGTTCTCGAAGGTCTCCCATCTTGAAAAATTTGCTTCTCAACCTGACAACCCTTTCATGCTGACACCTGTGTGATCAGTAACTTGTCCCTCAGGTGACAAAAAAAAGGAGAGAATTCGAGAGTGTGAGTCAGTTTACTGCTGTTAATATCTCAGGATATTGTGCTGTGGATATTTTTGTGTGTTTTTTGCTTTTGTTGCTACTTATTATTATTAATTTTTCATTTTTTACTGTAATTTCATTTCCTTTTTGTTAAATTTTCATTTACATTTCATGTCCTGTTTTTATTTACGTTTTTAAGTATGTTTTTACTGATTTCAGAGAGAGAGGAAAGGAGAGGGAGAGAGAAATATCAATGATGAGAGAGGCATCATTGATCAGCTGCCTCCTGCGCGCCCCCTCGGTTCTGGGGATCGAGCCCAGAACCCAGGCATGTGCCCTGATAAGGAATCGAATCTTGATCTCCTGGATCATAGGTCTGCTGAGCCACGCCAGCTGGGCATGTCCTTTCTCCTCTTAAAGTGTCTATAGGTTAAACAGTACATTAGACATGTACTGTATATAAGAAAGGTTAAAACAGGGAATCATTTGGGGGTCTGGAAAAGGTTAATCCAATCTACATTATTTCTAATGGGAAAAAATGCTTAGGTTTTTGAATTGCCTTCCAGAAAGAATTTAGTTTGAGAATGGAGGTTCCACCGTACATGTATAAAGTACACAAAACAGGGCTTGGCAACAGCAAGTACCGAATGTGTGATACTTATCACAACACGTGTGTTTACTTGACCCTCTCCCACAAGAGTGAAGCAGGGACTATTGTGTGCCTGCCACTATTTTCTCAAGGTTTAACAGGTCCTTAGCATACAGCCACTCAACAATGAGTAAATAAGTGGATGAAAGAAAATAGCAATATAACAAGATCTGTTTTAAAAAAACACACAAAACATTCTAATAACTATATAGAAAATGAAAGAAAAAAGACAAAACTAGAAATCAGGATGGGGGGGGGTGGAGAAGGTTTGAAAGAGCAGACATATGAAGCAGGAAGTAGATTCATCAGGCATCCCCAAGCACCCTGCTTGAAACCTGAGTCCATAGTAGCCCCACCCAGCACAGTTCTCAGCTCTCTGCAGTTTCTCTGCAGAGTGTGTGTCCAAGCAGAGATCCGTAGTCATATCAAGTGTTCATTTAACAAACACATATTCTGTACCTGCTAAGTGCTGGACATTCTAATAAGCAAATGGAAAAGAGCATAAGCATGGTCCCTACCCTTGAAGAATCTACATTCTAGGGTGGAAATAGACCATAAAGAAGTTTATAGCTAGTGGTAAACATTCTGAAGTACATAACGTACTATGACAGAGAGAACTATTTTAAATAGGATAGTCAGCTCACGTTTACACTGAGACATAAAAGATAAGATAGTCTAAAAAAAAATACACAACACAACAACTGGGTGAATATGCCCCAGTAGGAACAGAAAATATAAATACCCTCGGCCAAGAACGAGCTCAGGACCTGTAGGTTGACTGGCTCGAAAACACCAGTGAAGAGCCCAAGTAAAGACTGACGTAACAAGCAGGACCAGATTCAGAGGACGAAGCTTGGATTTTATTCTGAGAGCAATGGAAAGCCACTGAGGGGTGTTAGGCAGGGCAGTGCTTCAGCCTAGTTTAGATTTCTAAGGCCCGGCCAGGCGTGGCTCAGCGGTTGAGCATCCACCTAGGATCCAGGAGATCGCGGTTCGATTCCCGGTCAGGGCACATGCCTGGGTTGTGGGCTCGATCAATGACTCTCTCATCATTGATGTTTCTATCTCTCTCTCCCTCTCGCTCCCTCTCTCTGAAATCAATAAAGATATATTAAAAAAACACACAAAAAAACTTTAAATTTCTAAGAGTCACGCTTCCTGCTGGATGGAGTATGAATTGGATGGAGCCAAAAGCAGTGGCAGGGAGCCCAGGAAGGAGGGAGGTTTTACGTGAATCTGACCTGGACCACAGAAAAAGGAGAACAGATGGATTCACGTGAAATACTGGTGGTGTAACTGACAGACTTCATGGGTGGACTGGATCAAGTGTGAGGTTTCACTAGAACAGCTCTTAGCTTCCACCTTTGGTTGAATAGTGGTGCCATTCACCAAGATCAGGAAGACTGGGATCTTTGCAGGAAAATAAAGAGCTCCACTTTCAGTATATTAAATCTCAGATGCCTTGTGACATCTAAGTAGAATGTCAAATGAGTAGCTGAATACACAAAATAGATTCAGAGGAAATATCCTGGGTGGAGATATAAACCTGGGAGCTGTCCTCATACAGGTGAGATTTGAAATCACGGAAATAAATGAGAATGTTAAGGTGGAAACGGGTAAGGAGATGGCCCAGGACCCACCTGAGGAGCTCGACACTGAGAGGTTGGACTGACCTCTCAGAACACCCAAACCTGTTTCAAAAAGGAGGGAGCGGTTGACCCAACAAATGCTGCTCAGTTGAACAAGATGACACTTCTAGTGTCCCCTCGGTTTGGAAGGATGGAGGTCCCTGATGATGGAGGCACGAGCAGTCCAGGACGGAAGGCTGAAAGTAAAGTGCAGAAACGGAGCGGACAGCTCCTCGCACTAGCGTGCGCCTCAAGCTAACGCAGTATCGTATGTCGATCACAGTTAAAAACAAATTTTAAAGAAGAAAGAAATCTCTACATCCTGATCCGGATCTCTCAAACACCCAAACACGCACATAAACCCTATCCTGTTACATTAGGAAAAAATGCTGGTCACCACCTACTAAGTCGGTTTCACAGCTCGCTGGTGGGCAGCGAGCGACCTGCAATGACAGCTCCCGGCTAATCTAACAGGGACGATCCGGGAGGCAGTGACGGAGCTGGGGGAAAAGACACGAGCCTGAGGACGAGCGCGGCCGGAGCGCCTGCCGCACGGAC